ACACACACACACACACACACACACACACACACACACACACACACACACACACACACACACACACAGTTTTACTCACTCTTACAAACGTATCTTTAACCTCATCTTTCTCTGATTGTTAGTATTACATAAATAAAACTCATTTAGTTGTTGACTTTGTTTACACTGAATGTTTACACTGAATATTTACACTGAATGTTTAAAGTTTGCCTGTTTGTGGAGTTAAAGTAATAAATCTAAATTTGAAAGTAATGAAGCATAAATTTGATGAGAGGTAAAATATGGATGACATCACCACAGGATCTTCCCACAGCTGAAATGTGATTGGCTTAGACCTGCTCCTGCAGAGATCTGATTGGCCACAGACAGAAAAAGGCGGGAGGAGCATGAATGATGGGAGTAGAAGTGATGGTCAGAAGTCTAAAACTGGGGTCTGACTACTTCCTGGAGAATCCAGCCACTAAATAAATGTTCTGTTGTTTGTATTTTTAGATTTATTTACAACACTTACAGAGTTCATTTCTTTTATTTTGAAAGTTTGTCTAATCCACTCAGATGATTTGAATGTGGTTTTTATTTGTTTCTTTTCAACACAACTCTGACCTGTTGGAACATTTATTTTATTTATTTTTAGATTTACCCAAAGTTTTTAAACGGGCCTCTTCAGAACCTGGTCCTGCTGAAACACAAAAACAACACAAGTTCTTCTGAAGACGACAACCTTTGACCTCCGTTTGGGCTTTTAGTGTGGAGATCTGCTTGACATAAACAAGTAAACAAAGAGAAAAACAAGTAAACAAAGATATAATATATGCAGCTGTAGTCAGAGTCAGATGTGTTTATAATATAAAACCATATAAACAAATAAACAATTATAAATAAAACAAAATACAATTATAAAAATATAAATACTAAGAAATAAAATCATAAATAAAATCCCAAACAAATAAAACATCAAATTAAACTATGAGAAAAACACAAATAAAAACTAAAAAACATCAACAAATAAAACTATAAATAAAAGAATCATAAATAAAACCTCAAATGAATAAATAAATGAAAGCAGGTGAACAGAGTTACATACTCAGGTGTGTGTGTGTGTTCTTGTTTTTTTTTTATAGGTCTGTGGGGACAGAGTCATTTTCAGCCTCTATGAGGACATTTCTTTTCTAAGCTGGGTTTGAAGGTTCTGGTCAGGTTCTGGTTCTGGTCGTGGTGTTTGTGAACTGTGTTTGAAGGTTCTGGTTCTGGTCGGGGTGTGTGAACTATGATTGAAGGTTCTGGTCAGGTTCTGGTTCTGGTCGTGGTGTGTGAACTGTGTTTGAAGGTTCTGGTTCTGGTCGGGGTGTGTGAACTATGATTGAAGGTTCTGGTCAGGTTCTGGTTCTGGTCGTGGTGTGTGAACTGTGTTTGAAGGTTCTGGTTCTGGTCGGGGTGTGTGAACTATGATTGAAGGTTCTGGTCAGGTTCTGGTTCTGGTCGTGGTGTGTGAACTGTGTTTGAAGGTTCTGGTTCTGGTCGGGGTGTGTGAACTATGATTGAAGGTTCTGGTCAGGTTCTGGTTCTGGTCGTGGTGTGTGAACTGTGTTTGAAGGTTCTGGTTCTGGTCGGGGTGT